TGCAAGTCGGTGAGCGACACGAAGCGAGAGGCACTGTATGGAGATCCCATGGTTTCCCCCCTGGTCCCCTAATCCCCCTGTCGTGCCTGGGTTCGTCCGCCCGAGGTCCTCTTAGCCTTCCTCACTGTGTGGGCTCCTCTGGATGGATACACAGTAAGCTCTGTCTCTCTCTTCTTCCTTGTCGCTCTTGTTCTTTTCACTCCCCACACGGGCGCAAGGATAGGGGACTCATGTATCTGCGGTAACGACGTTTTGACGGCTGATGGAAAAAGAAATGGCGAGGAAATCGGGGGGCACGACAAGGGGAAGCTGATTTTTTTTTTTTCCCTTCCTTTCTTTGGGGGCAGGCAATGAACGACGACATGGGAGGGGTGTGCTGAGTGGATAGACTGTCCTTCGTACTGAGCATGGAGCGGGAAGAAACGCAAGTGGTAGTGTAAACGCGTCGGAAATGTGATCCGTTGACGTTTACATTCAAGCTCGAGAAAGGCTCTGCAGAATTGCAGTGCAGACCGCTCATGTTGGGGGCCCCCATTTCTAGTTGCTGGGTACCGGATAGAGGCTCGTCGCAATCGGTGTAAGCCCGTTGGCTGAAGCCTCACCGAGAACCAATATTCGAGTCTCCTCTCTCTTCCCCAGAGATGTTGAAACTCCCACCCTCACATTCCGCACACAGACAAAGGACGCAAGGGGCGCATACGGGATACACGCGCACATACAATCGCCGCTAGAGATGCACAACACCCGCAGGCAAGGCTCACTGACTCTGGGTTGCCCAGTGCTGAGATGACGGGATGCCAAACGAAACGAACACGGTCCGTGTTTGGTTCTTGACTCGGGTTTGGGTTCCTGGGTCCTCTTCGACCTTGAACTCTGACTAAGGATTTGTCCTCTGTACGACCAGAGAGCAAACGCGACAACGAAGTAGACAGATCACCGTGAAATTCCCCATGATGAAGAGAGGGTCGAGTTCCACATGGTCAGGTCAAAGCGCGAGAGAATTACAGCTTCGCCTTGCCTTGCCTTGCGCGGTACACAGAGAGATCAACAGCCGCGACATCCCGACGACGATGATATGACAAGTCAGGGTCTTTTGGAGGGGTGAGGGTTCTCTCGCCTTGCATCGCACGGCAAAGTACGCCATCACACTCGGACTCATGAACATCGCAATGTTAAAGAATCGCGGGGAGGCGGCGGTGAAGAATGGTGGCAATGGCACGGAGGACGGGATCAACGGAGCCACACCACACCCAAAAGCCACACTAGGCTGGGATCACGAGCGATGGATATCTGCCATCCCCCAGGGTTTCCGAATGGAACCTCATTTCACAGCTCCCACTGGTGTTGAGAACGTGAAGCTTGGACCGAGAGAGAGAGAGGCAAACGAACACCCCCCAGCTCCGCCCGCGGATCGGAATCTACCTCGCACGACGCCAAGACGCGTTCGTAATCTCCAGACGGCGAAGATGAGTGCCTTCGTCCCGAGGCTTCCCATCACTTGGTGAACGGTGAGGCTCTTTTTTTTCTGGTTTGCGCCGCTAGAGTTCGTAACAATATATTCTATCGTCGACTAGCTAAAAAGTCTAGCAGGCTTCTAGCCTAATTCACCCTCCACGAGAAATTGCGGCGAAACGGCCCGTGGACACTTTTTTCAGACGAGTTAGCCTCACGGTGGTTCAATCTGCAGGATTCCTCTTTGGGAATCGCGTGATCGAAGGGTGCAGTGTTTCTTGCGGTGCTCGTTCTCCCGGGAAGCCCCCAGCACCAAAGGCTGATATAATCTGATTAGCTCGAACAAGGGACCAGTGTTGGTGATTTTGATTCTTGCTGCTTCAGATTGATTGCATAGATAGGATGTGGGGTTGGCCCGAAGCTAGGATTCAGGAATAGGATTTCCTGCGGCCCTAGTTAAATTTGCGGGCAAACCGAGGGGGGGGGGGAGGCCAAGAACTTTCAATCAAGACTCGTGTGGTTCTGCTTGGCGACGCTTCTTCTTGTTTGAGTTTGTTTGAGTTTCGCTGCTTCTTCTTCTTCAATCATGTTGCAATTGACTTTTTTGGTTCAGGAAGCGCCGGAAATGGCAAGATGGAAAGACTCTTTTAGATACATCTATATGTATATTATCGCGAGCCTCGGCGCGGCTGGAGTCTTTGTCTGCCCAAATTTGCGAAGCCGAAGACTCGAGTCGTGAATCTTCCACCTCGGGCGGCGGGGGGTGTAAGTGCGCGAGTAGGTAACCTATCTACAGAGTAAAGTGTTTATGTAATCCAACGAGGAACAAGCGCAGCGTCGTATCTGCAGATTGCAAATCTTCTAAAGAAAGATCGCCAAACTGTTTGAGATACATTTCGAAAGCTTAAACTCCGCGTGACTCTGTTCGGTGTCGCCTATCAAAACGTCAGTCACCAAAACACACACCCCTTCCCTTCCATGGGTGATGGCATCATCATAAATCGCCCAACGTTGCTCGTTCGCCCATCCCCGCGTCCGTCCCGCTCGCATAATGAACGCAAACGGAAGACACGGTCAATTTAGTCACTGGTTGGTCTCGATTCTATTTTGGTGACGCCAGCCTCCCAGGGAATGCCCGCTCGAAAGCCAGAAACCCGTGGAGGCCGGAGCTGCTCTGCGATTGATTAAACGAAAAGATGGTAAACGAATTTCCCTTGGGCCGGAGTCTATTCTTCCCAGCTGGGATCGTCCTTGGTAGTTGTCACAGTGCTCACGAACTCAACCGTCATCCCAGAAGCAACAATTAAAAAGACAACAGGCAAGTCCCCGGATTCACTACTTTAGCGGTAGTTTGCTCGCGACGTGACAATGGTAATGGTGATGAACCAAGAAAGCCGCGCTAAGAAAAAGCCACCGTCGCACAAACGTGCAGGTAAAGTTGCGAACTTCAAGATTTGCCAGATTAGCGGAGGAGAGGGGTGTGCTTCGTGAACCATCAGGCGTCAGGAGGGGCCGATCATCACCATCTCCGGGGGCTTGCGTGACCAGCCTCCCGGCAACGGCAACGGCACAGGCAAATTCAGAACAGTAGGTATCCGTCAAGTCGTCGTCCGGGCCGGTGGTCGGTGTTCCGTCTGTTTGCAACCCATTCGGTATGGTCAGGTTTCTTCGGTCCGGTTTTCCTGTCCAACGTCATCAATTTCTTTTGTTCGCAACGGGATCTGCAAGACATCATCACAGGAAGGGTCTTTTTTGTCCGAAAAGGGCAATAAAAAGAATGCTGACGTTGAGTTAGGCCAATGACGATTTGAAGTTACACAACGTCCTGCAGACTTACACCCCACGAACAAGCAGCACCGGTAGACGAGAAAGAGCCCTGGGGTGGGTGTAAGAGCAACCCAAGCCTCACGTCACGTCCGGCGCCGTAGCCGAACCGGTAGCTTCGTATAGAGTGCGCGGTTCCAAGTAATTGATTTAGATTCAGTGTTGTTCTGCTCAACTTCAAACAAAGGCGCGTGTTGGCATATGCCCCATAGCTGCCCAGTGAATCGTGACCTTAGGTAATCCCATGCACTTACAATGCCAAACTAAGCGCCGTCTGTCTGCAATAGACTACTGTTTGTAAACACTATCTTGCCCCGGGATTACTTACACGTGTAAAGACTCAAGGACGCGGAACCTGGGAGCAACTAGACGCAGCCAAAAGACAGTGCAGGAATGTGTAAAGTGGTCTGTGGATAAACCATCTCAGCCGCAAGTTCGTCAACCTACACCAATACCAAGGTTCTTGAAGTTTCACCTTTTTTTTGCCACGATGTTCCCAGAGTTCAGCCCACATGGCCCCGACGGTCGGGAAGCCTAGAACTCGGCCGGCCGCCGTACCGCACCGCTCCAACCCGCCCCTCCCACTTTCAGGCTCCGACGCATTCATTGTGCGGGTTTCTGTCAAGAAAGGTAATATAGCTTTAGCACCGGCGTGTTATATGCTTACAAGTGTTACCAGGATGATTGTGGCTGAGGGCAAACGTACACACGTCTTCAGCTCTTCAGCTCTTCAGCTTAGGTAATGCATCCTGGGTTCAACTGCCCTCGCGCACGCGGGTATTAGGTAAGCTCCGATATAGTGGGAATCTCGACGGTTTGAAAGCATGCGAGACCCTGCCATGTTGCGTTCGACAGCGCATACTTCAGCATTATCGCGTACGGTGCTCCATCGCCCACGCACCCGGCGTTTGGAGGTTACATTGGAACGGATGAGAACGAAGGCTGTCGAACCCGTCGTGCCCCATTCTCCGCCGCCGCCGTCTGCGTTACACTCGAGGTTACTTTACACGTACCACGCTTACACACGCGCTTGCACGCCTTGCGCCGGGAATCGGGGGATCGGGTGGGAAACTGTCATACGGGACCACGGTACGGAGTTCGTGCTCAGCTCGTGCCATCACCGCTTCTCTCGCGATCCAAAAGGCGGTTCCGTGACTTTGCGGCGCTAGAAGTTGGAACCGGACACCCGGATGGATGGGCGCAGCGAGTGCGTGTGACGAGCTACCTTACCTTAAGACGAAAGAGAACGATTGCCGAAATATGCCACTTTTAGTACTGCGACGGTGCAGACCTGTCTCGATCGCGAGAACGCAACCTCGAAATTCCCGGGAGATGACGATAAATTTCGGTCAACCAGGGAAACGGTGAACCCTTTTCCCCCATAATCTCTCCTCTTCAGCAATGAGTCTTTGGGCTGCAATTCGAATCAATGATGCCGTGGAGCAGCAAATCGAAGGGCGTCTTCAGGCCGCACGCATCTTGAAGGCATTCGTACCCAAAATTCCCCCAACGCCAAATCAACGGACCAATCACAGCACCCGAAGCAAAAAGCAGGATTTCCTTCAGCGGCCGATCCACCCACCCCACGTGCGCGCACCTGATATCTGCCTTACCACGAACCCTCCCGACGACGAGCCACCATTTTGAGAAAGTTTACTTGATGACGCCGGGTATTCTATATCGCAGTGACATATGATAGTACCCAATGGTTAACTTCTCGGACTATGACGCTCTATTCGACGTTTCAAAGAAACCATGCGTCATGGGCTGGAGAAAGACAGGCAATGTCGTCAAAAGACACTTCCTCACAGTGGGAGAAAAAAACACAGCCAAGGTACGAATACAGACAAAAAAAAAATCATCCAATGATTCAAAATCGATAGGACCAGGGGGGCTGCATCTGCAAGAAGTGCAACGGCAACACACTGCACTCTGCAGCAAAGCGGAGAATGCGACAGGGCGCCTGGCGCGGATAATGGCGGTGGGCGATGGACGGCTGACGGTGGGATAGTGGGGTCCTTTCTTTTTTTCTTCGTCCTTCCCGTCCACGACTGTCCTCTTTTCTCCCGGTCTCTATCTCTCTTGTGGATGCTCTGAAGCATTCTGGTGTAGTGTACTGTGCAGGTGTGGATCATGAGGCGGTCGACGACAACGACAACGTGTTTCTTAACAATCTTTTCTGTCTTTTAAGGAGAGACTGCATTGCGATGCCGGGGTCGTGATTCCTCTTTCGTCTCTCTCGTCCGCAGCCCCCAGAAGCGAGAGAGGGAATAAAACGCCATGTAGCAAAAGAGAGGAAGAAAGAAAAAAGGCACAACGTTGCTGCATGGACTCCACGTTGCAATTGACGTACCGCCGCCCTTCAGCCACGCCGCACCCTGTTACCATTGACCAGATTCGATCGTCAAAGTTGATTGGAGAACTACTCGCAGGCGTGGCAGGTAATAAGGTACGAACGGGAAAAGAAATCAAACTTCTTCTGCTTCCTCCCACATACCATATTCGCCAAGGCTTTCCTCTTCAATGTGGGGGGATATTTCTACGAATTCCGCCCCGTGGACCTGATGATGGAGATAGAGAGAGAGGGAGAGAGGGACGGGACCAGGGTGTCTGGTGTACGCAGTATGCCTAGATGCCCCTACTTTGTGTGGAAGAGGCGAAAAAACGTGTAGGTACCTTTTTAAACCTCAGAAAAGCAGCCTCACGAAAAAATGTGGCTATTTTAGAACTCACATCCTAGTCGGGGGGAAACCTCCAACCCCCAATCAGCAGCAGCAGCCGCATCATCACCACGACATCTCCAAGAAACCGGTTCCCAAGCAAGCTACAACCTACAACTGCGCAGGGCTATGTAGATGGTCGAAAAGATGGCACGCCCAATCTATCGATTCTCAACTCAAAACTCTCGCAACTATTCCCAGCACAGACTTTCCTCCTCCCCCCTCCTTCGCCACCGTCATCGTGGCTGCCGAATAGACGTAACCGACCTATACTAACCTACCCCCTACCTTATCCCATTGACATGCTTTTTCTCTCCAGCCGCATCGCGACAGACCATCTATCTGCCGCAAACAAACGCGCAGTCGAGGTGCGGGGTTCGGCCAGGTAGTGTAGTGTATTTGGCGCGCGTGTTAGACATACATCACGCACCACACATACATCACCCACATATAGGACTAGGCGTTGACAGTATTGCTTGCGCAAGGCAAGGGGGGGGAACAGGCAAGAGAGGCTTCACCACCTTACCACTCGTTACCTATACCTAGCCTACGCCTGCCGACGCTCATACGTAGACTTGCCCCCGATTGAGGGGGAACACCAAAAAAAGAAAAGAAACTTTCAACGCAGGGACCACGAGTTGTCTGAGACTGCGGCGCCGGATAGATCATGAGGGGTCGTCATGAATCGATGAAGTAAGTGGGATGGAGGGGGTAGGATAGCATTGAGCTCCCTTGCGCATAGGTCCCGATACAGCGTCGCAGCAAAGACCGTCGCCGGTCCTCTCTTTTCGTTGCGGTCGTTATCGTTTCTGGTTTTGTGATGTTTTTCCGCCCCATTTCGGCATTCAAGCATGTTGTTACCAACCGTTGTCATCGGGGTCGTCCGGAGTACCCTGGGCGGCGCATTCCAGACGCATTTTCCCATTCCGCTCTGGCTTCAGACATTTCGTCCACAACAGTGACAGTGATAGTGACAACACCGGCCGTTCCCAAAGAAAGCTCAGACCAATGCCAGCGACTGCGAATGCGAATGTGTTAAGAAAAAAGAAAAAAAAAGTTGCGGCACCAATCGCAAACCTGCTGCTGGCCAACACCCCCAAAACCCAAAAAGAGGCCGAAACCGAAGCTTGGGGAGCCGGTTCGTCAGATGCCACCGCGGGGGACCGAGCTGCGACGCAGACGGACACTGCTGCGGCTATGATCTCCCCAAGACTTACTCCGTACGGACCCCAAAAAATTCATACAAGCGGCGCAAACAATCACATCACGAGAGTAGCAATGGTTACACGAAATAAGTTTTGAACAAATAGGACATTGTTGTTTGGTATCATTGATTGGTTGTCTACTAGCCCGCGCCACCCCCGAAGCCTCGCGGAAGGGGGTGTGGCCGATTCGGCTGCCCGGTTGTAAAAGGCCATCGCTCTCTGGCGTGCCTATTCCCGTCCCATTTTTGGTACATTGCCAGTGACCATACACTTTTGTTGTATGTTCTTGCGGCTTTTGGTTCCTCTCCCTCCACCACTGTTCCTTTACACATTACTTCGACCCCCATTTGTACACGCAAAGAAATTCTTTCCGTCGTTATTGAAAAAAAAGAGAAGATTGCCCTGCGCCAATTGAAGAAAGGAGTGTTGGCCGAGCCCCAAGTCCGTAACCCGAAGGTCAATGTGAAACGCCGTGATCCAGTTCCGGTCCCCGTTCGTGCGCCGTGCATGCAAAGCAAATGGTCCCGACCCGAATGCAAAAAAAGTAATGGAAGCAAAGTGCCCTGCCGTTGTGTGTCGAATGTGTCTTTTGTGTTTGGTTTTTTAGTTTTTTTCTTTTGGTGTGTGACCGGCGACTAGCCAATCTTGATGCTCTTCCTGCGGTTGGTGAAGCCGCTGAGGATTCGGCTCCGGGTGTTGCCCGCCGGTGAGCTAGGTGATTGTACTTGAGCGACGGGGGTGGATGGGGTCGGGGGCTGGTTCTGCGCGTTCTTCTTGGCCGCACGCATGATATCGTGGTAGCTGACTGCGGACCAAGGCGCCTTTTGCTCGGGCTCTTCCCTAATGTCTGCGTGGGCCGACAAGGGGAGGTGTCCCAGTGATGGCGAGGACAGGCGGTCGCGAGACGAGTTGTTGGCAGCGAGGTCTCTCAGCTGAGGACGGCTGCGCTTGCGGACAATGCTGAGGGTCCTCTTGAATAGTTGAGAAGTGGGAGTCTTGGGTCTCTCGAGCTTCTCAGGCTCCGCTTGCTGCTCCTCGGCCCGCTCGTCAAATGGCTTGCTGGCGTAGGGGTCGATGCTGAGGAAGGAAGGCTTCTCCTTGGGCAGCATGCTGCTCGTGATCATCATGCTGCTTGACCTGGGCGGGTGGAAGACGGGAGAGAAGGAGGCGCCGCTGGTGGAGGAGGTGGACATCCTGCGCAGTGAGGGTGCTGTTGATGAGATAACCAAGCGACTCGGGGGCCTGCTGGACTCCATGGACTCGGGCGAGGCGGATCTTCTTGTTGAGGGGAGGTCGATGATGGAGGGCTTTCCGGCGAAGACGACAGACACGACGCGGGCAGTGTCCTCTTGGCTCTTTCTGCGGACGGGGGAGTCGGCGGACTCTGCGCTCTCGGACTCGTAATCGTAGTCTGAAAACTCGTCGGCGGAGGAGGAAGCCTCCTCTTCGGAAGAGAGGTAGACTTCTTGGGGTGCTGCTTGGGCGGGTTGGTTTGTGATGATCTTGAGGGCCATGCCGTCGAGGAGTCTGGAAGCTCGCAATGAGCTCTTGGCTGGTAGTGCTGGTGCTGTTTGTGTGGGTTGGGCCTTCTTGGGGGAAGGACCCGTCATCTCTTCGTAGTAGTCTCCGTACATCTTTGCGTTCTCGTTCTCGTTCGGGGCGTCGTCGTTTTGGACGGATGGTCGTGGTGCGTTGGGAAGCGAGTCTCTATAAGAGGTCCTTTGTGACTGATCCTTCTTGTCTGTCATGGTGGAGGTAACACGGTCCTCTCGGCTGGAATGTACCGACTCCCTTGCGGGCATAGTCTGGCCGGCCAGAGACATGGTTGGCGGTGACGTGAAGTTCGCGATCTCCCTCGAGGAAATCTGAGACTGGGCGGTTTCAGTCGACTCTCCAAGTGCAGAGTGCAGCTGGTCTACAGCAAATAGTGGCAGCTGACTAGCAGGTAGGTTGGTGTAAGTGTCCAGGCCGGTGGTATGGGCTTGGAGTTGAGAAGATGTTCAGAGGGAGGAGTAATGCAGAGTTACTCGTTTGGTGAAGCAAAAGAGAGAGCAAGAAGCACCTAGGGGTGTGAGGTGGGAGGGCAGAGGAGGATATATCTATGGCCGGGTCGGTCAGGCACACTTGGACGGGTTGGGGACGGGATGGGATATGTTCTGTTCGGGTGGACTCACATAAAGGGACGGGGGGTACGAAGTAGGGTACGAAGTACAAAGTATCGGGGGCTCCAAATAGGTAGCCGGGGGGAGGGGTGTGGGATAGGTACGACTCCGTGGAGAGAGAGAGAGAAGTGAAGATTGAGAGAGACAGACAGAAAGAGAGCACAGATGGCACTGCAAGGCGCCAGATAGACAAGAGACAGACACCAAGATGCTCCTGCACTTCCACTTGCACTCTGCACTTGCACCCAAGTCCATGTCCACCAAGTCCCATGTCCTGATCCTGGGCTGCCCCCCCAGTGACCCCCTAGTCCCGATCCCGGTCAGGTCCTCATCCTGAACGGGGTCCACTTGGGTACGGGGACCCAGTGCTCTCGGGGGCAGTTGACACAGTACAATGTACCGGGGGGCTTTTGTGGCAGCAGCGCCAGCGAGAGAAAGCGAGGCAGGGGCTGGGAGGTCAAGTCCCCGCTAGTCCCTGTCGCTCCTTCCTTTGGCTGTCCACTCTGCAAGATGAAGTACGTACCTCCCATACTCCGTACCTCGAGAGAATCGACACCTTACGAGCCTCGCAACCTTAGCTAAGGCACTCCAAAGTCTCGAGTACGGATGCCATCAACCAAAGCCAGAGTGCTCAGTCACTCGTATCATTGTGGCTCAATCAATGGCTGTGAGTCTGTCATGTACACACAGATGTCCGTACTGCTCACCCTAATTACCTGCCTAGCTCTCCGTCAATCTCTCTCAACCTGTCCGTGGGGCGTCCGCACCAAACCTTACATCGAGCGTACAATCACGGCTATGCTCTCTCCCACCACACGACGATGGTGGCATGGAGGACGGAGTAACGACTAACGGGTTACGGAGCACCTCCTACGGATAGACGCCTTTCTCACCCACTCCCTTTCCACGCCCATCCGCGAAATGCTTCGTACCCCCTACACCACCAATCCTCTTCCTTACGCCAAACACCACACACCAGCACCAGCACCAGGCACACCCACCACCACCACCACCACAACCACCACACTTTGCATCACAGACGCTACCCACACGGGCCACACCTGGCACATCTCCTACGCCGTGCCCCTTCATCATTGACTGCACAATCTACGGCCCCACACTCTAATTCGCCCTTCAGGTCAGGACCACGCTGTCCAGCCTTGGCCAATTCTGGCTCTCTGCTTCACAACCGCATTTCCTACTTGCACCACTATACCATCCCGACCACGCGCTGCTGCGAGGATTGCCTCTGAAGTGCGTCGTTTCATGTAAAAGGGTGCTACTGACGACCAGACACCATCTGCGATGCCTGAACCGCACCGCAGCGCACATTACAACTCGTCTGGACGGGCGTTCGCGGTGTGCCATCACCTCTCCAGACGTCTCCATTAGGCCATCATCTCCATGAGGCATGGCGTTTCTTAGCACTCGAGTAGAAAGGCGAGTCTGCCGATGCGAGGGGTTACCGAGACTGACGAGAGACGAAACCGACCAAGCCGCCCTACCCACGGCCACGGTTATGGCCCTCGCGATAGTCTCGTCGCTGTGGATTGGAGGGAGGAACGAGTGTGTGGAAACTTTGTCCAGTCTAATCGCCGGCACTTCAGCCCATGCTGTCATCTGCTCAACATCCCTCAACCACCAGGCTGATGCCGCTCACTACCCATCACTCCTGGTGGCCGGCGTCTTACTGTGCCCTCCACAACTCTGCCAGACATCATGACTTGTAACAGCCGCAGCAAGGCATGTTGCCTACTGCACTCTTCGTCATCCCATCATGAGCCTCGTTCGTTTTTCCCTGCTTGTCGACGTTTCCCAGCGCCAAACACCCCACACCTCTCTTGTCAAGCTGTCGCTCTCGCAGTCGACTGGGGGGTTGGTCACACCCACGATCACAGCAGCAAACTCCACACCACCAGGCGAGGCGGTGGCAGGGGTCGACTTTGCTGTCCAAAGAGACGACATCTTGGGATTCCTCGACGGCCAAGGAAAAGCGTTCCTCAGCCCAAGGGCAACGACGAGAACGCAAGCGTCTGCGTCTACGTCTGCCTCCACCGTCTTCGTGATTGGAGGCATCTTTCCATCTTTTGGTAGACCGTAGGGGCCTCCAGATGGCTGATTGGACCCGACGCCCCTTTGCCGGTTAGGGGCTGCCGGCAGCCGCCTTCTGTCGGACCACCAGAAACGGCCGTCGGAGCCAAATGATGTTCGTCCAGTCCCGTCTGCGTTAGAGACCCTCTTCCTGCCCGCATGAAAACGTCCTTTTCGATTTTCTCATGCGACCCGGCGGATGCTCTCGCTCCCGCCGCTGGAACTGAAAGGGAGCAAGTCAATTCGATCCCGAGAAAAGGGAGAAACATTTCCAATGTTTCGGGCTCACGGCGGAACATGTCTTGGCTCCTCGCTCTCCGGCTACAGGCTGTGCAGGGTACGACATCGTAAGGACGGGCCATCATCGATGTGCAGGCAACCCCCTCCGCCCTTGGCAATCCATGATACCGCACATCTGCATGTACGCGAGTGTGCCAGAAAAAAGAAGCATCACGAACCCGTGGTCCAAACAGCTCAAGACCCTTGCGGCCTGGCCTGCCCGGCCTCCAGGGCCATGGTCTGCGGACAGACCGAGCTTTTCTGGGGGAGAATGCCATTTACTTTAAATGAGGCCGACGACGACAACGAGATACCGTATCGGGCGCAATCAAGATGCAATCTGTCTGTTAACATGAAGGGGCCAGGTGGAGGGCCGCAAGTGCGATTTCGCAATGGCCCGGCCGATCTCTTCCGGGAATGGCGCGCGGAGGCCAAAATTGACCGACAGCAACAACGTTATTGTTTGTCCGGCGCGCAGGCTATCAGAAGACGCACGCTTTACCGCCTCCGCGCCATCATGTGGCCGTGGAACAATATCAAGATGCTTCAATGGTGTGGACAGCATGTGTGTGCTTCGCCCTCCAAAGGTTCGCCGTAGACATTCTATACTATGACCCGCGATCTGGACCGGTACCTGCTGCACCGTGCCGCGCGATATCGACGCAAGTGCTAGAAAAGGGAAGACTCAAGAGCAAAAAACGGCTTGTCCCACAAGAAGCGAAGAGGCTGCCGACATCTCACTGGACACATGCGAGGCACAGAGCGTTGCATCGTCAAAGTGACACCACGTTGGGTCGGCAGATTCCATACGGGTTGCACGAATCACATCGTGGACAACGGTTCCAGTTCTTTTCTCCGCCGTATCCCTAGGACGCCAGATGCGGGACAATTATTTTTTTCTTCAAACTCTTTGCCTCACGAATCCCAGACCGACATTTTGTCTCGTCTCCTCCGCCTGGCCATCGCAAGCAACTCAGTTCGCCCCAACCGTCTCGCCTTTCTCTCTCTCTGCCGCAGAGGGGAATGCCAATGATGGGATTGTGTGCGCCAGTAGGTTAAGCGTGCAGCGCCATGCGATGAATGTTTCCTCAAAAAGAGCAAGGCTCGCCCTTGCAGAAAAAGAGCACGCGAGAGAAGAGATGTTTCTTCGCGCCCTGCAGCTGCCTTGCCCCGTCTGAGAAACGATCTCAAACCTGAGGCGCGCCAGTGAGTTCAAGGGCAAGGACTGACGCTATTCTTTCCAAGTGTTTCGTCGCCAGCTTGCCGAATTCCAGCAACGAGGGGTTGCTTCTTGAGCTCTTTGGGCCAGTCACGGCCCTTGGAACGGGCAGCCCCCTGCCGTTCGTCTGATGTGCTGCGACAGACATTGTCGAGACTGGAAGACGGTCATTCGCTCACCAGGTTGGGTCTGTGAGCTTCACGGCCTGTCACTGGACGAGAGCTGCCAGTTAAAGCTTGGGAGTGCGGCAACGCACAAACCCAAGCCATCGGGGACGAGACAAGCTTATCAGCGTTTCTTGCAAGGGCCCTGACCCAAACGCTCCTGACGGCTCAAGTGCTTCATTATGCCAAAGCAAAGCCCTGCAACCGCATGGCGATTCGTTTCGGGACGACTGCAAGCGCAGAGTGTCTCTGGCGACTGGCAATGCTCAACGTTTTCCGGACGACGATCGGGGTCATGCTCCCGTACCCGCATCCGTGGAGATACAAGGCCGTACCGCGTCCGTCTCTGGCCGGAAGCAACGCACACAGTGTACGGGGTATGGAGAGGTGTCGACACAATGAGGACTAAGGGTTGCCATGCGCGTGATATCGCTATTCGTATGCGACGTGATACAAAGTGCAAGGCTCATCGCTGGTGCTTGGCGGGCAACGGGCCATCAGCAATCAAGATTCGGAATGAGAAGAGGGTCCCTTTCTCTCTCTCACACACAGATTTACTGCGTACGGAGCGGCGCATTTTGGCCCATTCATCGGCCCATGTGCTGTCGGCTGCCAGCCCAAGACCAGATTGACGCCGGCAGACGGTAATTTGACCAGGGCGTCCTCGGTGGGGACCTCGAAAGATGCGATGAATTCCAACACGATGGATGCATATTCAACGCCGTATCCCTTCCTTCGTCTCCGTCTCTTCATCACCTGTCTGCCTGGCTCATCAGCAACGGACCAGCTCCGAGCCTGAACCCGGTGGTTTTGCGGGCTGACGGGCTCGCTTCCTCGGTCCCTTGACTGTCTGTCCCTTGCTGCCGAACATTCTCTTCCTTCCATTCCTTCCAACACCCTTACCACACAGGAAGAGGGTCCGCCGGGTTTTCAGACCGACTGTCTCTCGCGTACGAAATATCCACGACTACGCACTAAACTCCGTGGACCGTACCCGCAGAACAGGCTCGCCAGGCTGCACCCTCAGTCTCCCACTCCCTCACAATGAGACTAGTCAACCTCCCAGTTCTAGCGCACCCACTAGAAGTGGCTCTGATGGATATGTCGCGGCCGAGTTAACCACACCTCCTTGGCCTCCCATCCCCACAGCTGCATTTCCACTGGTTATCACGGATCACCGCCTGGCGCCTGAACAGAGTCAACGTTTTTCAACGGGCCACTCAGCGGTCAGAATCGCGGCAGCCTCAGAATTCCAGTCACAAAAACGACAAGCACGCCAACCTCTATGCGAGATGATGCTAGCCCACATACGGCAAGGTACTAACCGGTCCAACTTTCTAA